TCTTAAAATATTACTCCTCCGGTCCTAATATAAGACCCAATTGACTTATTGAGGAGATTAAGGAAGTAAGTTAGTGGTTATTTATAATAAATAAGTGTTGTCATTCCTAAAATATCCTTGCTAATTAAGTATATTGGCTAAAACTATCATTATTAGAAGGATATCTTGGAAAAAAATACATAAAATAAGAGACAAAAGGATTGGGTCTTATAATTAGGACCCAAAAAAAGTCAAATTGGATCTTATAATAATGATCGGAGAAGTAATTGTTAATATTGACATAAAACCTTGAATCTTGACCCCTAGCGCAGGATAGGGGTAATTTTGTCAATCCACTGAGATTCGGGAATCAATATAAATACCTCTTTAGTTGCGGCCACTATAAAGTATAAACAATAATCGAGCCATTTGAGTCCAAACGAGCATCTGCTTCCCGTGGGCTACCGTTTCATTTCACCTTCAGGCTGCAGCGATAAGAAAAGCCTCGCGTCTTTCCGCTATCTTCATGCATATTAACTAGATTGATTCATTTCTTTCTCCTGTTTGTTTCTCGAGGAAATTTTCTGAACCTCCGAGATTCTGCCATGGATTGGATTCGGCCACTAAGCTCCGTTGACTGGCACCATGAATCTTACCCGGCCTATGAGGATTTCGCCATTCTCCCCTTCTTCGTCCTCCTCTTCCCCTCCGTGCGTTTTTTCCTCGACAGATTGTGTTGGAGGTATTGTGTTTTGTACATTAATGTAACGGTTTTTCTGCCACGTGATCTCGACCTTTTGCTTTTACATGTTTTAGCTGGAGATTTGTCTGTGAATTTTCTCCATAGTAAACTGATTAGGATTTGCCAGAAGAATCTGCTTCCTTTGTTACTGGTGAATTGGATTCGCTTTTGCTGCTTTTCACATGCTTATGATTGCTTTGTTATTGGGCATCAATTGGATGTACACAGGCGAGCATTCAATTCTTAAATAGCTCTTGATTCGGTTTTAACTTGATGTTTATGCGAACTGTGTGCTCAATCTATAATCGAACTTAGCTGCCTTCCATATTTTTCTCTCTTTTCCTTTCTCATCATTCGAGCAGTGGCGTTTTTTAAAAATTTAAAACTAGTGTGCATTAATGCTGGTGCCGACTTGCTGGGTTTTTGTAGCACACAAACTGTTTTTTCTCCAACATTTCGGCTTATTTAAAACCTATGCTAAAATTGTTTTCAATTCGTTGTGTATAATCTTGGTGCGCAAATGAATGTGTCAAGTCGCTGACAATTCTGCTTTTCTTTTATCTGAACAAAGTTATATGTTCCAAAAAAGTAGGACCTAGAAATAGTTATATGTTCCAAAAAAGTAGGACCTAGAAATAGTTATATGTTCCAAAAAAGTCTAGGACATTGATGCTCAATGCTGTAACGATCCGGTTACCTCTCAACTAGTATTCTGGCTCCAATAACTGCCCTTCTGAATATTCATGCACCTTTGCTGCAGAATTTATCCTCCTGTTATTGCTTATTCAGATGTGGTTATACCATTTGGTGTGATATTTTTTCAGGCTTAACAATTATTGTACTGATTCTCTGAGGATTAAAGACTCGATGAACCTTGATATGACAAATACCATTACTAAGACTCATCTAATTTACTAGCGGTTTTCCCCCCCCCACTTTACAAATAAATCAATCTATGCTCGACAACAAGATTTTATATTTCAACCAAACTGAAATAACTGGCAAAACTTGGCCATTTGCAATTATGTCTGTCAATGTTTTCAACCTTTCAGTTCTGTTTAGTCAATGTTAAGTAAATTCTATTTACAGAAAGTGGGCAGGTGGTTGATTTTTGGAAAGGGGCGTGAGATGCTGGATTTTGAGACAGCTGAGAGGAGGAAGAAGATTAGAAAGTTTAAGGAATCAGCATGGAAATGTGTTTATTATCTGTCATCAGAAATTCTCTAGCTTTGACAGTAACTTATGATGAGCCTTGGTTACTAATACAAGAAATTTTTGGGGGACCAGGTGATCAGGTCTGGCCAGATCAAAGATTAAGTAAGACTCTTTTTCCCCCAAATTAATGTGGTTATTCAATTCCTTTGTTTGATTTTATTTTTGTAGTTTTTGGCCTTCTTGCATCTTTTCTAGTGTGAACTTTTGCATAGCAGAGTGATAACCTATTGAATTTTCAGGTTGAAATTAAAAGGACTCTACATGTTTGCTGCTGGATTTTACACATACTCCATATTTGCTTTGATATTTTGGGAAACAAGGCGCTCTGACTTGGAGTGTCAATGGGCCATCATGTTGCCACTGTCATTCTGATTGTGCTGTCTTACATTTTTAGGTATTTTTCATTAACTTCTGTTTGTCTTAAACTAACATTTTAATTCCGCAGTTTGCTTGCTTTGTTATCCAAGCATTTCTAAAGGGTGTTATGAATTGTACTTTTGTTGGCATTATTTGTTGCTGTCTGATATGTTTAAATTTACCTTAAACTTCTTAAAAAGAGCTAAAAGATATCAAGATTCAAGAACATCAATATCTGTTGTCTGTAATTTAACTCATTTTACTTAACATCTTAACATCATCAATGACAAGTTAGGTCATATTATGAATTTTATTAGCTGTTATCCGTCAGTTAAAAAAAAAAACAAGAAGAAGGGGTGCTACTGATCTTATAGGAAACTATTTGTAGTTAACCGTGAAATAGTTGGCTTAATAACCAGATAAATTAATTTCTGGCTTTCATGGAACGCTTGTATCTAAATGGGATAGGATAAGAGCCTGGAGCTTCTGTGAAATCCTTTGACTTACAGTTGCAATTATGTGGCAATTATAGCTCCAATGTAAAATTATATGTTTATATATACACTTTTGTTTAAAAAGGCAATCTAACAGCATTGTGTTTTCTTGTCTTCACTCTTTTCAGGTTTGCTAGGGTTGGATCAATTGTTTTGGCGCTTCATGATGCTAGTGATGTATTTCTGGAGATGGGGAAATTGTCTAAGTACATTGGTGCTGAAATGATTGCTAGCATTGCATTTTCTTTTCGTTCTGTCTTGGATCATATTGGCCTCATCTATTATCCATTCTGGATCCTTTGGAGTACAAGGTTTGTATAAGTTATGTACTCATTTCACTTGTTTGTTTTCTTGTCTTTACATGTTTAATGTTTTACCGTTAAGTTTTCTTGTAATCTAGGGGTAATTTACATTTTCTTGCATTCTTAACAAAGTTGAACATCTGCTAGTTCTTTTTTTTTTTTTTTTTTTTTCCGGGGTTGAAAATGTACTGGTTCAAGTGCTGTGCAGCAAAAAATTAGTTATTCTCCCTAAATTCATGTTGACTGTTAATAGAACTGATGGTCTTCAATTAACTTCGATGCAATGAAGCTATGGGTAGCATTTGATGCGTTTTCTGCTTTTACAAATTAAATGCTCAACATTGGAGGAGCTTTTTGGTGATTATTATATATTAAGGAATAACAATTCATAGCCTGGTCCTCTTGGAGAACAGCTACAGATTTCTGGTTGGGTCATCCATCCATGTCACAGTGTGTTGGTCATGCTGTCATGTTAGTTCAATTCATTGAAACGAAACATTTCAATGATTTCTGGAAACTAAAGAAAATGATTTTTATACTAGTTTTAGGAAGATTCTGAAGTGACTGTGTGACGATTTTTTTGTTATGCTTTGTCTTGACACTTTGTTCCTTGCCTGATTCCATAAAACATTTTTTGAACTGGGATCTATCTTGCACTGTGTCAGAATTTGATGAATCCTGATATTTCATTTGAAATGGTCTGAGGGGTTATTTTTAGACCAGTAGACCAGTTCAACCGGTCTATTTAGTTCCTCTTAAATTCTAAAAATTGCGTAATTCTGCATTATGTGGGAGTAACCGTTATTGAGTGATGGGTTTATAGACTTACCTGGAATATGTCACCTATTTTTGCTCTGTGGTTTCATACTGTCAGTCCATTTGCTTTCCTACTTGATTCTTCATGCTATTGCATATCAATAATAGATGCAGCCATATGTTTAAATCAGTTATTTGTGTTTCGAGTTTTGATTTAGTTGGCATGAAATGTATCATTGATCATTTTGTAGTTTCGTTAAGAGAATCTTCAAAGCTGAAACTTAGCGTGAACAGAACTAGAAAGTGATACTTATTCATGAGAGGTTGTGACTAAATCTTTCAGCAAACTTCTTACAGAAACAAAATAATACAAATATCATTTCTGATTTTGCAAAAAATTTAATTATTCAGTTAAATTGGGATATCGTATCATTTGACACCTCTTTCAATTAGTCGTTCTTTTTCTCTATGGCAGTTATGAGGTTGTACTCACCTTGGATAAGGAAAAGCACCCAGTTGATGGTCCAAATACTATTATGTGTTCAATAGCCTTCTATACTGCTTGCTTGTACTGCATATTTATTGGTGGGTGCTCATCTACCGGATGCTTGTTAAACAAATCCAAGCTAGAGGCAAACTTAGTGAAGATGTTCGATCTGGTAAGCATGAATGTGTTTTATACGTGGCTTCCTTATTTGAACATTGCTCTCTGCAAATTCTGTTCCCCATCATGCGCTATGGAAGTGGACACATATTAAAAATGATTGTGATTATGAAGTGCTGGTCATTGCCTACGCAGCACACTTCGATGCGTTTATTATGGCGAAGGCATTTAGTTATTGTGTTTGATAATGGTTAATTGTCCGAGTCTCAATTTCAATCAAGAATAGCTTCAATTAATTATCATGCTTCCAATGCAGGTTTCTATCTTAATTTTAATGAATGGCAATTTATTAATTCCTAAATACTATTTCTGGTCTTAAATATAAGACCTTATTTGTAATTTATAAACGAGGTCTTGTATTTAGTACCGGAGGTAGTATGAAATATCCTTATCTAGTTTTCTGTTCCTATTTCCTGGTGAATTACTGGTATCTGTCTGTAAGTTGTTCTCTTCATCTTTTATGCAGATTCTGAAGATGAAGATGAACATGAAAGATTAAGCAGGAGAGAAGGATTTGCATGGATAACCTAAACCGAAGACATAGGTGAGATTCAATTGGTGAAAAGCTACTATACACGATAGAGATCTTAAGTGATGGTCTAATTTAAAAAGGAAATTGCAAAATATTCCATAAAGAGCCGAGTTTTGACCCTTTCTCGCCCAGCATGTTTTTTGTGTAGTAATTTTGTGCTTGTCTTCACTGATTTATTATTATTTTTTTTCCGAACTTGTCTTGTATTCACTGATTTGTATACTGGAATTAAGGCAAACGAGATATTGTAAAATTCCTTTGTTAGTTGGAGATAAAACCCGCTAAGATTATACTCCTCCGGTCCTAAATATAAGACCCTTATACTAGTGTGTATAAGGGTTTTATATTTAGGATCGGAGGAGTAATAAATTATTTACACATGGATTTTGTTACTGCCATTGATTGAGCGATAGTTTGGGTTATTTCTTGCAGATAAAAGAATTGTTTAAGATCCACACCTCTTCTTTGCCCTTGCCCTTAGCTCCCACGACAATCTTGTGATCAACGTAATCTCCACGTGGAGGGTTGTGGTTATACTACTAATTCAAGAGGAAGTAGATGGAGAGAATTTTCAATCTTCGTCTAAACTTTTGATTTACGTAGCTCAACTCTGATTTTCAGTCTGCAGCTCACAATTTGTTGTAACGATATTGGTTTGCTTGAGTCGTTGTCCTCCACTCCTGATTTCAACGGCGAGCTGTGAAGGATTTTGCTCGCTTTTCTCTTGGGTATGAAGAACTATACCTCATTTTGTCTTCCCTTTTTTTTCCTTTTGGGGTTCAATGTTATGCACTTTAT